TAAAAAAAACACCAAAAAACCTTGGCAAGTTTTTTATAAGTCAAAATGAATTTAATACAGAAATAGAAATGGTTCAATAATACTTTAGCCTGCCAATTACATCATAACCATCTTGTGCAGAACAATTATTTGAACTTTGAACTGCAAAGTGACAAAAATAAAAATTGAATGATCTAAAAATTTTCAAACACAAAGAAAGAGCGAGCGTATTATGTCCCCAAACATGGAATAAATGCATTCTAGGATAGATCAGTTAAAGCCCCATGATTCACTGGAAATTAATGGCTCCATTTCTAAAGACAAAGCTGCCTCAGAGTCCAAACCTGAACCTGTTGAAGTTGAGGCACCATCCCAGAGATTGGTTACTTCAGTTTTGACATATCTAACCGCTTCATGATTTTGTTGACCATTTGAAATGTTTTGCGAAAGACGAATCTGCTCTATCTCTGCAGCAACTTCTATCATCTTTGGCCGCTTTTTACCACTCAAGCTCAAGCATCAATTTGCAAGTTTGGCAACCTTTGTTATCTCTTAATGTGTAGAACTCTCCCTTACTTGAGCATCAAGAATATTAAAGAATCTGTTCTCTTCCATGGAAAAAATGAAATGTGAGGCCAAACTTCTTGCTTCCACTTCCTCCATCTCTACTAAAGAAATTGGTTTTTCTCCAATTAAAAGCTCAACAAGGACAAATCCAAAACTGTAAACATCACTTTTTTCTATAAATGGACTTGACCGGAAATATTCATGGTCCAAGTACCCAAATGTGCCCTTCACATTTGTAGTCAAATGAGTTTGATCAATGGCAATTGATCTTGATGTCCCAAAGTTTGAAACTATTGCCCTGTACTTTTCATCTAGTAGAATATTGGAGGACGTGACATCTCCATAATAATTGGAAACGGAGGCTGCTGAGTGCAAGTAGGAAAGTGCACCTGCAACTTCTGCTGCAATTGTTAACCTTCTTTCCCAGGTTAATGGGAAGTCCTCATTGTAATCATGTATGTACTGGAAAAGTGTCCCATTGGAAATGAATTCATAAACAAGCAGAGGGACTTCAGTCTCCAAATAACAGCCTAATAACTTAACAATATTTCTATGGTTAATTTGTGTAAGAATGACCACCTCATTAATGAACTCTTTAACTTTCTCTTTATGCAGTCCTTT